TTATTGATCTACAGACTGCATTCTTTTAAACCTCGATGCACTCTAGGCCTGGATGGTTCGTACATTCGTGGAACGATCACCCCGTCCGAAGTCCGTGGTCGAAGCTGTCATAGTATTAAAGACACTAAGACGGGTGCAATAACGGCGATCCGATCCCGTCTCTGGCGAATCTAGAGGGGTCGTAAGGACCCAGGCCGAATCTGACCGTCTATGACCACGTTTCCATGGGCACCACTGATCCGGATCAGTAAAAATGGATTAGCTAATCCAGTATAGTTAGACACTATACGAAAATGAAAATAAGGGATTAACTGGTTATGTAAGCCTAATCCACTTTGAGTTATATCCTGTAACGAAGAGTTCGAGAAATATAATGCGATTTAAATTTGCTGATCCGGATCAGTGATGCCCATGGAAACGGGGTCTATTTTTAGGGAAACGGGGTGGGTGAATTGACAACCGATGGCTTAAGAGATAATGAGAAGAGATCCCGTCGTCGATTGTTGTTTGACAGACAACACATGTTGTACTGGACGTATGACCATCAGAGGTAATGCCTGAACGTAGGTAAGCATAATTGTTCTGTCATACTGTTTAGGAATATAAAATGGTAATGGAGATTATTGAGGATATGATCTCTACATTACAGGAATTCGCTAATTACTACGGCCCATAGGGGCACCGCCGGAGCTGTTGTTTTGCCATCGGTCCCAGGCAACTCCAGGGAGCTGCAGTACCCGGCGGCCAAAGCGGCCCACCTCGTCGACTCGCAGGTCCTGTGAGATTCCGTGATGCTTTAGTGCTTCACCCACAGAAGCACGGGCATAGCAGTAGGATGTGGGGCTAGGTGTCTGTCCACCTCTTCATTGAAAGAACAACGTATACAGCGCCTGGTCCCGCCGAAGCTCGGTATCGACCGTGACTTATTCACAACTGGCGGATCCAGGAAGCGGTCTTGGACACTGCGGGGGCTTACCCCAAAAAGGTTTCTCGGAATTAATTAAAAAAAAACTCTGATTTCGATTCCTTGCGCACTGCTGTGCAGTGTGATTAACCAACATTTCCTCAGAAAAGTTGTGAAGTTTTCTTTGATTCTCGAAAAGCGATTTCGGGCGCTGCCAATGTGGGGGAAGACATTTGCCCCAAATGCCTTCCCCTGGATCCGCCAGTGGGTTGCCCCACTCCGAGCTTGACTAAAACCATTTTCAAACCCCACCAGAAACCGATGGTAAGGTGAATTTAAATCCAATAACTCATCTCTGTCTGCCCGCCTAAATATGTATATGTTACGGGTCATATGCTAACTTGGGCAGTATGCATACTACCCGGGCAGTATGCATACTACCCAACAGCCCGGGCAGTATGCATACCGCCCGGGTAGTATGCATACTACCCGACCCCTTGGGCAGTATGCATACCGCCCAAAAGCTTGGGCAGTTTGCATACTGCCCGCTTTCCGACATAAGGTTGTGTAATCCATGTCCACATTTTAAGATTATAAATGACTCTCTAGATAACAATAGATCAACCGAGAAGAATTTTTGCCGTAAAACGTGATTGATCGATCGTAGGATGGAATGAGGATTGGAATAAAGTGTTAAATTACTTTTTCCCAAATCAAATAATGTTTAATAATGAATAACCAGTGGCCAAAAAGCCATTGGCATTGTGAAGCGTGAACTGAGTGAAATGAAACGACGACATAGTGTCGGCATTTGATGGCATGGCTTAGGTTTGGCACATTGACCGTAGAGGGCGTTATTACCAGGGCTGCGGAGTCGATGGATTTTTTGATGACTCAGACTCAGACTCCGACTCCAGCTTAAAAATCGACTCCGACTCCGACTCCGACTCCAGCTCAGACTCCGGATGTTTCTCTCAAAATCCATGTCGTGATAAATGAAGTTCCAAGTGGATGTGTTTTTATTTTGCCTGAAACGATCTTTTTGAGTTCTAAGGCCTTACATTGCAAATATGCTTTATAAATAACATGCAGAATTAAAAGTAGGTTTTGGCGAATCCGCCGTCTTCTGTATCTCTCGCCGAAAACGCTCGTCCAAAACAAAAATTTGACCTTTTTTTAACAAAATCTGATTTATTTCGAAAGGTCAACGAGCGTAGTGTTGCCAAGCAAACAGGTGCAGGGTATGACGTTGAGCCATGCAGCGTTAACTCCGATTGCGGAGTCGGAGTCGGTAAGATTTCAGTTTTTTTTTTTCGAAATTCAAAAAAGAACTTTTTGGATTTTTTGCCTATTATATTCAAAAAATTACTTTTTTATTTTGGGGGTCAAAATCAAAAATCTAAAAATCCGAAATAGCAGTTTTCTAGGGCCCTCTAATTCGATACCTTTTATGTCTCAAACATTTTTCTGTATCTCTAAAGCTGTAGGCCTGACAGCTCTTCCCGCGAAACCTTTTTTGGGTCGAAAATGGCAGAACTGACGTCACTCCGACGTCATAAATAAGCGGCCAACATATCATAGCCTTTGGAAAAAAATGGTCACAATGTGTAATCCAGAATTGGAGGATCAAAAGCATTCGATAGCATGCTTTTGCATCCGGAAATTCCCATTGGTGGGTCGCTGAAAAAAAGTTCGGCTGAACCTGTTTGTCAGCACGAGTATGTGAGTATGTGAGTATGTGAGTGAGTTTGTCCAAGCTTTTTTGGACCTGGAGTCAAAATGGGTGGACCGATCGGGACGAAAGTGGGACCGTTTGATTCGTCTCCGGCGAGATAAACTTTTGGTGCTGGCCTCGGTTCGCTCGGTGCTTCGTGGCACATGCTATTCCGCTTCAAAGTTTCGGTGACACGAAATTTTTTGTCAAGGCTACAGGTCAACCCGAGGTCACGGGCAAAGCCATACTGGCGGGACACATCGGTAACACCTTGAACCAGTTTCCAGGGGGGTCACCGTCTGCGAGGGGTGCAGGCTGCACGTGCTGGGGTCGGAAAACCGTTTTGACGTGAGGTCCTATGGCTCAAAGAAATTTTAAGCTATCAACCTCAAAATCGGTTCAATGGTAGTCCCAGGCAAGGCCTCCAAAATAATGCACATTTGGTTGAGCTAAACTCTGTGGTGCATGAGCTATGCACGTGCAAGCCGATTGCACCCCTTCGTACGTTGCCACGCCTGCAGGGTAAACGCAGCTCTAACTGGTTCAAAACTTGCAGGTCATAAGAAGAATATATTTGATCACGACATTCCGGCGAGATAATATCCGAGGGGTGCAAGCTGCGCGTGCGGGGGGCTATGGATCGTGGGCTATGGATCCTCCAATTCTGGCCCAAGGCAACGCACGAGCGCTGCCGGCATCTAGTAGCTACGATCCCGGGAGGGTACTAAAAGTTTGTTGGCGATCGGCGCAGCGGTTCTGGAGATATATCGAAAAAAACTAAGGGGGGACAAAAAATTCCCCCCCCCCCACCACCTGGAAGGTTAAAACGTTTGTCATTCACATATATACGCGAGTTATTGTATTAACAAGCCTCACGAAGTGTAGTCAACATACTGCCCGAGTAAGCATCTTGCCCGTGAGAAGAAAGGTGGGTGGTATGCATAATACCCGGGAGGTATGCATACTGCCCGGGCGGTATGCATACTGCCCAAGGGGTCGGGTAGTATGCATACTACCCGGGCGGTATGCATACTGCCCGGGCTGTTGGGTAGTATGCATACTGCCCAAGTTAGCATATGACCCGTAACATATACAACACATGGTACGGCACCCGGCCCTGTGTGAGCTATGAGCCGATCGCGATATTTTCGGCTTTCCCCAACCCAAGCTCGATTAGGAACGTTCTCCTTCCCCACCCGATTGCTGATGTCAATTCAAATTCAATACCTCATCTCTGTCGGCCCGACCATAACCCATTCATTGCACACCGTTCAGCGCTCCGCCCCGCCAGAAGTATCCTAGCGCGCTGAGCAGTTGCCTCCAGCCGCGTCATCGCGAGGCCCCGCGCGGCCCATAAATTAATACATTGCGCGAATAGCCGTGTCGCCCCCCTGCCCAGACCTATCTCTCTCGGTGAACTCGGTCACACAGTTTTCAATATGCGCAATTCTGCCGCCTGTGCGTCTGATGGCGTCTGCATTCGCATGCTGAAAACTGCTTTCCCATCGATCGGTGATGTTATCCTTCACATCAGTGGTCGGCAGGTCACTCGGGGTTGTGCCCCCTTTTTAGGCGCCAGGCAGGGCCATTACCCCCACCTACCAGACCACATTGCTGTCACAACCAAGTTTACTGAAATTCCATACCTTTCTGGAACTCTTTTGGTATTTCTGCATTTCCATTGCATCAAATTTAAAACATGACACTTCCTCCACAAAGCATTTGATATATCCCATTTAACCCTCGTGCATATAGGGGCGGCGGGTGGTTTTTCGTTAAAAGCTCGCGTAAAAGCCGTTGGATCACGACCAAATTGTACCCTCGAGCCAGTCATTTTTTTTCTTAACCTGCCCGGGAATTCCTGAGGCCGGTTTTACCAACAGAAAAATAGCCGCCTGCCGGAGTTTTTGCCTAAAAACCGCTTCACATACGTAAGCGCGATGAGCATGTAAGTGGATAGGGTTTTACCGTTTACGTTTACGTTTACGTAATCATTGGCTTTACATACATTTCGTAACCCGCGTAAGCGCGATGAGCATGTAAATGGATAGGGTTTTACCGTTTACGCTCCGTATGTGAAGCGGTCTTAAGGCGAAAAATTCTGGCAGGCGGCTATTTTTCGGTCGGTAAAACTGGCCTCTGGACCCATAATGATCAATGGCTTATGAGCTTTTCCCGGAGGACATCTTGAGCCATAAAATCTCACTTCAAGAAGTTATAGCGGGTCCCGATTTCCTCGACACTTGTCTGACGTACACGCGATTTCAACGACTGTTTGTTGAGAAGCAGACAGACTAGCTCGCCGCATGCTCTAAGCACGTTGTTTTCTAATTATGGTTTTCACATCGCCAACGTCAGTGTGCCTACTTATCGTCCCGCCGCCAGCTTGTTGGACGTTATTGCTACCAACCGCCGCGACCTGGTCCGTAGAGCGGGCGTTACCCGCTGTCACTACGGAGGGCCGCATGATTTCACACGTGTATTACTTACGCGAGAGGCTCACCCGGTGAACGCGGCCGGCTCTATGGTATACCGACGTTCCTTGTCACGTGTGGACTTCCCGGCATTTAATCAGCAGCTCTACGCCGCCGACTGGCTACCGGTCTTCGCAGCACCGACAACGGACACCAAGTGGGACCGGTTTCAGCGGATCCTGATATCTCAGCTAGACACCGTAGCACCACTGAGGCGGGTACGGGAGAGGCGGCCTGCCGCTGTGCCTGTCACGCCGGAGACCCGGCAGCTGCTGCGAGACCGCCGCGCCGCCCTCGGCTCCGCTGACCGGGCCGAGTACAAGCGGCTGAACCGGCTGTGCCGCGCGGCGGTACGTGCCGACTGCCGGGCGCGGTACGAGGGGGAGCTGGCGCGGAGCGGCCGAGCTGCGCTGTGGCGAGTGCTGCGGCCAGTGATCGGTCGGAAGCAGCAGCAGCAGTGCACTGTGCCGAACATCACCCCAGACGCGCTCAATGACTATTACGTAACTGTCGGTCCAAGCACTTCTGCCAGCGTACCTGCGCCCGCTACGCCTGTAACTACAGTGCTACCCAGAGTGCTAACATGCAGTTTCCGTGTCGGGCCAGTTAGCATGGATGAACTGTACTCTGCACTGATGAGCATGAAGCCGTCCAGCTCGACCGGACTCGACGGTATAAGTGTGCACATGTTGCAGAGGTGTTTCACCGGACTGAGTCACACGTTGCTTGATGTAGTTAACTCCAGTCTTTCATCCGGCTGTGTCCCTAGTGGTTGGAAACACGCACTTGTTACTCCTATCCCAAAGGGTAAAATCTCTGCCGACCCTTCTGATACGAGGCCTATTTCGCTGCTGCCGGCCATTATGAAGATAGTAGAACGCGTAGTCCAGTGTCAGTTGACCGGTTATTTAGAGCAGCATGCACTTCTCGCGGACGCCCAGCACGGTTATCGCAAGTGTCGGTCGACCGAGACAGCACTCCACGTCGTTACCGATCGAGTACTCTGTGCCATGGATCACTGAAAACTAAAATGATTCCGGGGGGGGGGGTGATATTAGGAGAATGGTCTAAAACGAAACCCCAATTATTCCCGTAATATACTTCAAGTAGCACCTTTTTGGCCTTAGCTACCCCCAATATCCCAACATTATTACTCTAATATGCCTGTTGAATGGCTAAGTGGAATCAAAATGATTATCTGGTTATGCCTCCATTATTCTTACGAAATGCCTAGTGTATTCCCCCTGATTCTCCTCTATGCCCCTTTGATGCCACCTAGCATACTTCAAATGCTCCGTCTAAACCCGATCCATGCTCCTTTGACGCTCTCTATATACCCCATTGATGCTCCTTTGATGCTTGCTATAAACCCCATTGATGCTCCTTTGATGCTCTCTATATATGTACCCCATTGATGCTCCTTTGATGCTCTCTACATACCCCATTGATGCTCTCTATATACCCCATTGATGCTGATTTGATGCTCTCTATACACCACATTGATGCTCCTTTGATGCTCTCTATATACCCCATTGATGCTTCGTTCCGCAGTGGCGGATCAAGGGATGGGATCGCGGGGTCATGCTATTCCTCGTGAGATCCCCATGAGATACCTAGCGCACTGATTTATTTACCCACACAAAGGTAAGAGACGCCATTTATGTAACCACCTTCGCCCTTCCTCTGAATTTCCTGGATCCGCCCATGCCATCGACGCTCAGCCACACCAACAGCAACCACGATACGCTTGTGTGTATAAGAAAAACGTACTGTATTGATTGGAAAGACAACTGCCTCTGCATTCATTTCAAAATCACAGCTTCCTAGTTGCCAAGAGACATTCAATTTGTACTATCCATATTAAACATACGTCACGCACACGCCTCATATAACAAATGCCATACCTCATGTTAAGATCCAGGCTGTAAAAAACACATGACACGCGAGAAGCGCCGCTGGCTCTTCTACGATGACCGTTCCCTCTTACGAAGGAGTCGCAAAACAACCGGTGCCCCTTCAAATGGCGTGTTTTTTCCCACCTTTGCTACACAACGAAAGTTGAGCGTGTGGCTCCTACGAGTTCCCCCTCCCTGACCTCAAGAAAGTCCGACAACGTAGCCCAGGGGCTGCCACAGGATATCAACAGGCCCGCCCATGCCGCTTGTGACCCCTTTCCCTGTGTGGCGGGCCATCACGTCCGTCTCCATCATCTCCGTCCATCACTCCGTCTCCACTCCGCCCCTGGGCTTACCTGGGTGCACGGGCACACTATGCTGTCAGCACCGACAGATTTTTCAGCGCGTCCGCCGTCGCTGTTGACTCTGCCGGCAGCCCCATGATGTCGTGGACGATGAACCACATCGTGGAGCGCGATGCACGGGACACTTTCTGGTTGAAGACGTAGTGGGCGACCCCGAAGAGCCTCTTCAAGGCACTGGGCGCTGGCCACCACTGTTTCTTCGACCACGATGTCGAAACTCGTCTCCCGCTCGTGTATCAGGGGACGTGTCATCGTCGCCGCTGGCGCTTCCATGACGACCGGTCCCTCCTCACCCAGAAGGCGCAGCAGTACCAGCGCCGCGTCCTCTGTGGATCAGGCAAGGAGGACGACGGACATATCACTTACTCGTTTGAGGATATTTTTTATTCACACTGACGGGTACAGGGATGCAGCTGGAAGCTACCCCGTGTCGATATTTTGCGAAGTTACGTGCAACAGTATGCGCACCCGTAATCGATCCAAAATGCGGCGATGCCATTTTTTTTTCTAACTAAAAAGTCACTATTACGAACTCATTCTGGACGCCCTATATAGCACAGTAAATAAATAAAAAAAACGGAATACACAGTCGGAATCCTGAGCAGTTTCTAGTATCGAAACATGTACTTTAAATGCAAAAAAAAACTTTCTTTAAAATATTACGTTTTGTCCACACTTTGTTGACTTGTCCTCGCCACAAAATTGTATGCCAGAACAAACTAAACGATCCACACGTCCAACACGAGTGGATTGTTGTGGTCCCTTACTGGACTGGACGAGTGGACTCGTAACTTCATGTGGCAAGTGAAGTGGTTTAACATGCTGGCCTTGTGTAGCCTGACCGCAACTAAGCGAATATTTGAAATTGAACTGAGCACATAGCACCAATAATTAACGACCAATATCATCAGCATAATATTGCAAGCGCATTTCCCCACAAAATGCATTTTAAATCGCAAGTGCATTCTCACCTCGACTGCGCGACGTCTTCTCCACTACCTTGTCCAAAACAGCACCCAGGGCGGCGTTGTACTCTTGCTGGACAGGCTTACCAGCGATAAGTTTCATCTCTTTCCAGAGCTGCGGACAGAAACGGAATGGGATGTTTGTATATAGGTAACATACCATCGTTGACTAGATTATGTGTGTATTGGGGTTTTAGGTCGCCGCAAGTTCTTAGCCCGCAAGGGAAAACTAGCCAGTTTTCACACACAACCTTAGAAGAACACTACATATTAAAAATCAAGGGCCTAAGTCAATCCAAGCATTTCATCGTCATGAGTTCCTGCTAAGGATGGTACTCACCCTCAATAAGGCTCAATTCCAGCCTAAAAATGGCACCACTCGCAACCACACAGCACCCAACACCGCTCTTCACTGATCACCGGAAATGGCGGAGAAAAATGGCGGACCTTTGGCGCGTTCCTGATGCTTCCAACGAAGAATCATTGAGGGATAATATTGTTCTACTCGGGTGATATCAAGAGTATTTTGAAAGAATCAGGTAAAGGAAGCATAACAGAAGAATATGAAAGCATCTCAAGGGAATATGAGCCTCCCTGTGATTCCGGCAAGATACCCTCTGGGCAATGAAGGGGTATATTGCAAGAATAGATAGAGAATCATAAAGGCATAACTATCAGCGACTGGGGTATCAACAGCATCCTAAACGCACGGAATCATGCAGAATCATTTGGGGTATCAATGGCATAATATGGTTCTCACAGGGTGATATCAAGAGCTTATTAAGAGAATCAATAATTCATGGAGGACGAGGGAATATCATGGGAATATGAAGCCAATTGCGATTCCATGAATATACCCCATAGGTATAATGAAGAGATCAAAAGGGAATAATTGGGGTATAGACTTCAATGATCAGGGTATCAGGAGATTCATTTTGGTTTTCAGTGATAGAGGCGAAATATCTGTGCTAGTTTTGCTCGATCTATCGAAATGTTTCGATGTTGTGCCGCATGCCACACTGTTAGCGAAGCTCACCCTGTACGGCATTGATACGGACTGGTTCCGAAGCTATTTGTACGGCCATACCCAGCAAGTCCGCGTGAGCTCTATTGGGGGACGGCATCAGCTATCAAGGACTAGGGAGAATACCATCGGTGTGTTCCAGGGCGGTGCACTTAGCTGTATCATGTACCGGGTGGCCCAGGAAAAACGTTCCGAACTTTGGAGGCCTATATATCAAATTCGAGTACACATAAAGTGCCAAAATTTTCATCAATTTTGCGTCATTTCTTTGCGCATTGGTATGCCAAATTATAACACTATACCATCATTTTCAAGCTGGGAATCTTGGGTTGAATTAAGCAAGACGTTTTTGCTTTTTTTGCCGATGTCAAACGATAGTGATGATTGCGTTACACGTCCCATGTTATAAAAAAAGAATAAAAAATAGAGCACGTGAATGAAACCAACACGTATGTTCTTATTTTAAATATTTTTGTCTCACTTATGTGCCAAATATTCAAATACTGAGCCAAAATGGTGCTCATGGATGCCATTCGTTTCAACACCAAATCATGTTTCGAGCAGGAGTGGCACGGTGCATGCATTACTGCTGATTACCCTCCTTTCAGTAGATCAAACAGTAAATCGACGGGATAAGGAAAAAAAACTAAAGCAGACTGGTTCCTGTGCCAGAAGACCACAGAATAGCTTATGAAAAACAACATTGCCAGCAGATGACAAAAAAACACTGGTTGAAAAGCTACCTTTTCCCAGGAATGTCAGCCAGGAAAGCATTTGAGCCACAAGATGGTTAGAAAACTGGAAACTTCTTCCGATGCCGCTGGCACAGAGCCATCGTGGTTGCCTGAGGGAATGTGTCATCCTGAGACCCGAACCATCAATGAGAATAGCTGCCAGTAGAAGTCATGGCTCTAGGCCGCGGTGCCGCGGGGTGAAAGTGAAAGTTCACTCACATTTTTTAGTAAACATCGGAGCAAAAAAGTAATTTTTACATGGCATGCTTGAAACACGAACCGTTTAAAAAGTAATCTACCGAACACCATGAAAATCACACCATTTACTGAAAATGTGTGCCGCATTGACTATTCGAAGTTTCAATGTTGTATCTTTATCACTTTCTGAGAAATATTGATTTAAAGTTGGGAACGTTTTTTCTGGGCCACCCGGTACATGCTGTTTGCGAATGATTTGAGCCTTGGACTGCCGAGTGACGTCACTACTGTACAATATGCCGACGATACGCAGCTATTAGTATCCGGCAGCAAGCGTGACATCCAGAGAATCATCAGCAGCATGGAACACGCACTCAGCTATGTGTACAGGTCTCGCGGGTTTTAGCGGTAGGTTTTGCACCTAGAAAATTTAGTGTACTTCAGGCTATATCTTCGTCGTCTTAAGCTTTTAAGTGTTGAAGATGCGATCGACTTGTTGGGTAACAAGCCGGCCATGATCGTGTAAAATGGCTTCATCGTAGATCGATTAGTTTCTGAGATATAACCGGAAATGTAAAAGTGCAAAAGCTACCGCTTAATCTCGCGAGACCTGTACAACTGGTTCTGTCACAACGGGATGAAGTTGAACACCAAGAAGACACAGATGGTTGTGCTGGGAACACCCGCGATGCTCCGTACGCTGCCGCCTGTTGTTGTCCGCTTCTGTGGCAATGTTATAGCCGATTCGAGAGAGGTTAAAAACCTCGGTGTGTTCATTGATCGCCACCTCAGCTTTGAGACACATGTGACATACATCACAAGGAAGTGTACAGGCATATTG